GAATTAATACCATAAAATATATACGTGACAATGAATGTTAAATCATTTATTTAATTTCCAATTAAGTAAAATTGATGTTAATTAACATACATGGATATGAATAATGAAATGTGTTCTTGAATGTGAAAATTCTAATTAACTTATAATTACAATAAGTAACAATAAAATGCATAAATGAAGATGAATATTAATTAAACGAATGTGAATGTTAATTAATTAAGAATTAATAATAGTGAATTCATACATTAATCAAAGTACACAGGTGAATGAATCTGTCAAATGTAAATGTACATTGATAGTAACTAAATTGTTAAATAAATTAAATACATATTGAAAAATAAAAAGTAAGGTATTATTGAATTATTATAGAGTTAAAATCTTCCAAAAAATTATTCTCAAAGTCAAGATTAATAATTTTATTTGTAGCGAGGTAGTTATTTCACACTAAACATCTCTCTATGTACTATTCCTGCTTGGTTTAAATAAAAATTAGATTTTGATAATAGTTGATGAAATGGTGACTTAAAAGTTATGGACCTTATGAAATGTATTGTTAAAATTAATTGTTGACTCTGATTTAGATTTTAATCAATTTTTTTATTTAAACCAAGAAACGAGGCACTTGTCATACCTTGAGAAAGACTGCATCTGCTGGAGGTATGAACTCAAACATGTCTCCACCAACATAACTCAAATTCTTACTCCCTTTCAAGCCAGCAGCAACATGTGGAAGATCGAGCACGACGCATTTCAAGTTTGGGAAAGCATCAGAAATAGCCTTGGCCATAGTACCAGTTCCACCTCCAACATCTACAATCGAGTTCAAACCTTCAAATACATGTTTGCAATTTCTAATAATCACATTAGTCATCAACCATGCATCGCTTGCCATGGCTTCATTGAAAAGTGGTTCAGCCTTGGCTCGTGCTCAGCTACTCGAAAAGTGACCTTCCATGAGCTATTTGAAACGCCGTGTGATGTTCGTTTTCGAACCATTCACTTACATGATGCCATGGCTTTGTCAATATCGGATCAAGCATTGCTAGTAACAAAGGTGCCATGCTTAAGGGCTCATCTTTCGAGAGTAGACGAGAAGATGGTGTAAGCCAATATCCCATATTTTCTTCATCATCAAAGATTTTTTCCTCGATGAAGAAGCCCGAATGGGTTAGAATCCGCATTAGACGGTAGACACCATTTGCTTTTGCTTTGTTAATGGGGAGTGCTTCGACTAGCTCTTGGAGTGTTATTGGTTTGCCATGTTTGAGGATGATGTCTGGTATGCCTAGTTGAGTTACACATTTGAGAGACATGGAATTTATGAAGTTGAATATGTGCTTCCAAACATGAGCTTGAGCATGAAATTACTTGGCAGATTGTTCTTGTTCTCCATTAGTAGGCAATACCATTTCTTGAATTTCAAAATCAAATTCTTAGCTAGTTCTGTACTCATGATTTGCATTAGCATTTATTGAATATATACAGAAGCACGAAGCATGCTCAGTGGACAGCACTGTGGGGATAATAATTCAGGATATCTAGAAAGGAAAGATATGCTCATAATTAACCTCATAAAACATGAAACACGACAATGAGGTCCTTGTCATGCCTTGTTTCTTTTATATATAGTGCTTATTTTAAATTCTCAGCCTAGCCTGAACAGCGATTTTTGTTCCATGGAATGGATGCAAATATTCTCTTTAGATTTTATGAGATCATTAGACCATAAATGAACTATCTTGATTAAATTTTATACCTAATCGACATGAAGATTATCATAGGTGCTACAAGATACCAACTAGATATGTTAAGACTCGATTGCGCTGAGTTTAATACATTGACTGCGGGTTTGCCAGTATTTGGAAATCAGACATTAAAGAACCCCAAAACTAGTGAACACGAGAACTAGAGATATCGATCACTTGATAAAGGTTTCGATACTTTGACATTTTGATGTCAAAGATTAGTAACCTTAGCCTATGGATTAATAATCTTGTGCCTTGTAGTTTTGACACTCATAAAAAATGCCTTACAGTTGTAATACGTAAAATCGATGGGGACTATAAGTGTGAAGATTAAGCCATTGTATGGTGTAGATTAAAAATTCGCAAAAAATTCAAGTCAAAGTTAACAATTAATTTTAATTTTAATCACACATTTCATAAGATCCACAATTTTTATCAACTTTTCGACCGTACATTTCATTAAATTTTATCAAAATTTACTAAAAAGATTGATTTTTAGCTACACTAAACAGGGGTTAAATGATATATAAGTGTGAGGTTATAATTTGTTAAGAATGATGTCAGAGTGCCTTGCAAGTTGGTTTACGGTTTTAGATGATAAGTAATGCTATGTGGATCCTCTCCATTTAAGAGGACGGATATGTGTATCTAAAGATCCATTTCAAATAATACACACTAACACTAGTATTAGTGAAAATTGTGCCACATACCTTACTTTTAATGCATATTTAAAAATTACTTTTTAACCTTTTTTTCACAATGAATACTGTAAAATCACAGTAAAAAGAAAACATGAAAAATTATCTAAATCAAAGGAATAATAGTTTAGGTAAATTACTCCTACGAACACGCCCTTACAAACATCCCCGTATGGAATTTATCTAGAAATCCCTAAAAACATTCATCTTCCTCCCAAAAAATTCTCTCATCCACTGATCTTTATATAGATCTCACGCAAGATGTAATCAGTACTATTATCGCACAAATCAAAGTCTGATTTCACCTTGCATTGATTAAGGATTTATTATAATCATAAAAACCCTAAATGAAGGAATGTGTAACAACATATTCTCTTTGAATTCCTTCGTTTTTTATTATAGTCCTTATCCGATGCTAATAAGTTTCAGTTGATATTGGATTTTAAACTTGAGGGGAAGCATGTGCTTAAATCTGCGCACAAGCTCTCACTTGTAGCCAATCGTTGCTAGGCTAGAATGAAAATTATTAGCATATAATAATAAATTATATGCATGTACAATTGGCCTCTCATCCAACTCATGTGAGTCATGCTTGTTGGAAATTGGTTTAAAATTTTTGATTTTAATAAACTTTGACCAAATAGTTAAGAGCGATCAAATAGTCAAATACGAGAGTTTAAAGGTCAAATGTGTTCTACTTCGTGAGTAGATTATAATATTTTATTTAATTGTTCGAAATCAATTTGGGTCAATGAGAATTTAAGGAGAATGCATTCGCTTAGACACATGAAACTTGTTGGAAAACAAATTAGAACATTATAGAATATTCCAAAACCTATTTGACTGAAAGTCTACTTTTTTGACATGTCTTTTTCAAATAGTCACAAATTTTCATCTTTGAAATATGTCACTTTGGATATGTATTTGTCAATAAGACATCCCTTTTTATGAAATTGTGCCTTTTTAGATAATACTCATGGTGTCATTTATGCACTTATTTCCAATAAATTCTGCATTCATTTTGAGACCACTTTTTCGTTTTAAATGGAGTTTAAAAACATCAATAGGTTTACTGATCTTCATGATTTGGAATGCTCCTTTCGTGAGACGTGGTCGAGAAACTATTGGCGTAGTCCATTAGTACCTGTATGGTGACATTATCATTTCAAAGAGAAAGAGTCCAACTCTTATTACGGTCATTGTTTAAATTTTATGCATCTCATTAAAGTCCAAATTCTGTCCATTTCATGTTATTAAGCTTATATTTTGGCAAACTTATAAATTATTTATAAAAGATCAGACTTTATTTTCATCAACAAATTTCAATAGATCCAAAAGTATTATTCAGTTATTCATCGCTCATTTTTATCTATTTATGAACTAAGTTGTCTATAAATTCTTCCCAAACAGCGGCTAAATAGCATATATTTTTAGTCTAATGGAAACTCTAGAAAAATTACATCAAGATGATTGTTTACCTTGAAGTTATGCAACATAGCATCAAAAGATTAGGATGTAACAACAACGCTAAGGTGGAAATTCAAAGAGTTGGAGAGACGAAAAATAGAGAGTAAAAAATTCTTATTATGTAAATGGGTAAATTGACGTTGTACTGAAAAACAAATTTGCGTTTCCTCCACCATATACATCGAAAATCAATCTGGTTATATAGTATAAATCGGCTGGGTATAGAGAAGCTGGTGAAAATCAATTAAGCAGCCGATTCAACTTAGGATCCAGTTAATTGGCCATAGTTTTCCAAGTTCTCCTTAATTGAAAAAAAAAAAAAAAAATCCCAAGAGAAAAATTCTCTCTCATGTCATCTTCACAAAAGAGAATATTCTACTTTCATTCGTTAATAAGTTTGTCGAATGAGTTGCAGCATGCAAAATAATCTTAAGAGAATTATTCTTTCGCACCACATATTTGTACCAATAGAATTATATTTTGGCACGTAAATGCAAACTTTAGAAGGAAATGGAGGTGATCACAAATGGTCACTAACGTTTGTCGAAAATATTAAATTTTATTTTATATTAAAGCGGGAAAAAATAAAATTTTCTCGCTCTAAGATAAGGTTACAAAAAAGCTTAATGATAAAGCAAAACTTATATCTCGTGTCTCTCTGTTTCGGTAGGGACTTGTTAACTTTGTCTCAATCGAATTCAATTATCATAGGAGAACATTTAAATTAACGAAATCCAGTAACTCATCGATCTCCTTTTTAACATAATAAAATTTGTTGCTTGCACTATCATTGGCTCAGGAATAGGAAGGGTTTGCATTGAGACGAACGCATATGATGTTAACTATACTCATATTACCTCTATGATCGAATGGTTCAAAGATTAATTTGTATTTCATAATGACTCCAACACATTATGGAGAATAAAATAAAGAATACAATCAATCTAGTCCAATAAAACTTAAAATTTTACCATAAAACGCAAATGTGTAGACGACCTTGTTTCCATTTCGAAGAATAAAATTATATTATCAAAAATAATACGAGCATTAAGTTGGATAGATATTTATATGTATGTGTCAATTGGGAAATTTTTAGTGCACACGAATATTCCATTTCGAGTATATGGTCTTTGGAAAGTGGGCACAAAAATACAAATCGAGACCTTTCGTAATGAACTTTTCAGTTGAAATAAAATTGTCGTAGGTCTCACCATTGTCGATTCGAGTTTAAAGATTATCAAATGAAGTCGACCCACTTTCTCAGTCATTACATCGAACACCTGGTGTGTACCTGGATTCCTTTCAAATCCCAACATCAGCATATATTAATCCATTCGCATATTATACATAGCTTGGAATTTGCTGGTAGGTATGATATTGCCAGTGTTCAAGCTGGGCACACTTGCGCTGAAAACGCTTTGCAAACCCATTGGCAAACGCATCAAGAAAAAGGCGGGCCTGAACCCCAAGTTCAGGCAATCCATAATCAACATTGCCCAGGTCCGTATCTCCTCCACTCAACCAGAAAATGATGTGCGCATAATAGAAGAGCTGAAATTGTTAAATTCTTGGTTTGTTGTGATCGAAATGCGATTAAGTCATAATGATTTTAGTTATTCGTTATATTAGCGGTTTTAAGATTATCTTTTTGCAGAATCTTGTTTGCGGGCATAAGAGGAAGAACGTAGATATGTTCTCAAACACATTTTGAAGGGATAATCATGTAACGGTTGATATGTTTATTTTAAGTCAAACATGATGACACTTAAAATTGATCACCTTTTATTTCCTTCACATTGACAAGAATATCATTAACCAATGTCTGTCAAATAAAAATCAACATGAATTCTACCAAAGCACAGATATAGCAAAAGAAGTGTTTGAACAGAAATTAATGAACAAAAGACAGTTTTCTAAATAAATTTGAACAATAACCGATGGGGCAAATGCTCAAACAATTTTTCAATAAACAAGTCCAATTACGATTAAAATTTGGACCTTGTTACATGTAATCAAGGTTTACATAAGAGATTATATAATGCCACAAGACACCTTATTATCTGTCTATTTTAAATACAGTCAACTTTTTCATTCAATCTTTTTCCTTTAGAACATTTTCGGTAACTGCCTATGTACCATCTTTATATACAAATAGCAAAATCTTTAAAATTTTACAATATTTCAATTAACAATTCCCAAAAATCAACAATACTTAATCCTAATAACCAAACTTAATTAAAGGTTAAAGAATTAACAATTTTCTAATAAGCGATTCTAACTAAGGTTTAAAACTTCCAATCAAGAGTCACCATTATTGCTTCCTAAACGGTGAAAATAACAATTCAATGAGGAATGGGTTCTTGTGGTTCTAACTCAATATCCACTTGCAAAGAATTAACGTCGTATAGTGAAAAATCAACCATAACAATAAAAAGATAATTTTCTTGAGTATAAGTGCCTATTAGTACTTTGAATGGTCATCCCTAATTTCCAAATAATAGAGTAGTCAACTCTATCATACTTCGAAGTAGATTAGATGCTTCCAATCTCTGATGTTCGGACTCTTCGAAATAATCCGAGTACTAGTGTTGTACACGGCACAACATAAGTATGGGTATGGGATATGTGTTGGATCCTCCAAATTTCAATTAGACACTTCATTGTTTTTGCTTCTTCTTCTTTCTTTTTTTTTTTCTCTTTTCTTTCCCGTTTTTGCTCTCTATAAACCTAGCATCGCCGCCGAGAGAGTGGAGAAAGGCGGGGACGATAGGTTTTCCCTTCTCTTCTTATTTATTTTTTCTTTCCATTTCTTCCTTTTTTTTCCGTCTTTCTCTCTCTATAATGGTGGTTTAGGGTTTTGTTCGTATAAAATGAAAATAGGTTTCATATAGTGATACTTAATGCTCCACTAAATCCAAATTGCAATCAAATCCCTCATTTTTATTTTATAACATTTAGTAATTCTCATAATTGAAAACTAAACTCCAAAATTCTATGTTATTCGTCTTAACCTCTTATTCAATATCAATTTTCTTCTTTGTGAATAATTTATTTTGGTCTATTCAACATGAAATCTTGAATTAGTAAAAAAAATTGAAATTTGAACGTAACCCATGTACCCATGTTCAAAATCTGAACTCTTTTCAGCAATATTTCCGTATCCTACATTTTATAAAATAAAAGATTTAACACTTAGATACATACCCGAACTTGACACCCATACCCGAGTCCGAGTATCATAGCTTCTAATGATGCACACATAAAGCCGGTAAAAAATACACCATGCCTTATTCGTACCAAATTCGACCAGAGGTAGTGGAAATGCTTCTATTGATATCGTCAAGTTGAGAAAAAGAATGAGAAAGACGGAGTAATTTTTGGAATTGGAACACTATGTGCCTTCGTAAAGAAGAGATTAGGTGGGTTTGGCTTTAGGGCTAGGACTTGGATTGCATTTTTCTTTACATGGACTGCAATTTTTTGGAGTCTGATTAATTTCATAACCATTTATTAGGACATGACTTTGTTTCAGAAAAATCTTGCACCTTAATATTTACCAGTCCCCTGGTGGAGACCTCTCTGAAGAACTTGGCATCTATCAAACTAATCATTTGTTTTGTGTAGCATAACAAGTATAGGAATGAAATCTGTTAGATTAGAATTAGTTTAACTGATTAAATATCAGTTCCATTATGCAGAAGTTTTTAGGTTGAGAAAAAACCTGACAACAATGAATTATGAGCAAACATTGCTAAAAAATCTTCAGTTTGCAACCCTAGCTAGTAAATGAGATGTCTTACAGTGATGCAGCAGGAAGCATTTTTGCTTGAAGGAGTATGCAGTAGTATCTGATAACAAAGCTGTCAAAACACTTGTTTTGGATTTGATATTAATGTAAAGAAATCAATGAATATCTTATACAGAGGAACAAGGTTCTCTCCTCTAGAATCATGTTATCATGGAGTCTCACTGAGAAGAATATGACACCACACTATGCACCAGAAGGAATCATTTAATCTAGGATCTAGATATCAAAAGGTAACAACTTTCCCGCACTTCCATAACAATATTCAATACTCGATATTTTGTTTCAATTTGATATTGTACCAATTTCTCAACTTCTGATGTTCATGTCGTATTCAGCGTCTTGGGTCTGCTTTAGTGCCCTTTGACGGCCTTCCAATGATGGTAAATAAGAAATAGAACAACTAAAAAGGATGCTCCTCATATCCATGAAATGAAGATCATCTACGCTTGTTAGTTTGGTTATTCAATTGCTTAATTTTGATGATTTGATTGATAACTTTGCTTTTATTAAATCAATAAAATACACTTGTCTCTTATGTTTCCAAAAATGGGTATTTGATACAACGCCGTTCTAGGATTCTTACATCAAACATCTGGTTTTCTAGATATAAGGACTCTTCAGGGCCCGCAGGGGGTGTGGGGTATTAATTTTGCAAATTTAAATGTGATAAAGGAAAATTTTGACAGTCAAATTAATGGGAACAGGTACACATAAATTTTGCAACATTTTCCACTGACAGAATCACATTTCCATCTTCTACAACCTTCCTTCCTTCCTCTGATTCATTAACAGGCTAACCATCGGTTCAGAACAACTGTGCAAAGGCATATTTATGGTCAGGCAACGGATGTTGCAATTCGTCCTCTAAATGAAGAAAAAGCTGTTCAAGCTGCTGCAGACCTTTTAGGCGAACTCTTTGTGTTTTCGGTATTGTTGTCACTTTAACTTTTGAATTGGAAAATTTCAATAATTTTTATTTGTTAGTGTAACTAGCATATGCATCTACAGTACATCCAATTTGTTAGATGGTTTCAATTATGGCATGTCAGTTTTCTATTTAATTGCAGATGGCTGGAGCCATAGATGTCACCGTTTCAAGGTGTAGATAATATTTCATTGTACCAATCTATCTTCACGCTTTAAAAAGTTCGAATTTTAACGTACCATAGTGAACGGCTGCCTGCCAATTAATTAAATAAATGAAATAGCGGAGTTTCTGTTTATTAAAGTTCTATTGTACTTTTTCACTTCAGCATAAATAATATGCTTGTTAACATGAAAATCTAAAAGCAAATTTAGATTAACATGCGTCTTTCGCGGGATTGAGTATGTTTTAGCCCCCTGTTTGACATCCTTTATCTCAAAACTCTTCTTTCTACATATTCATTTTTGACCCACACAATAAAATATTCTACAAGTAAATTCCAAAACTTTCCCTACTTTTTAATCACTCATTCTTCAAAAATTCACTATTCAAAACATTGAAAATCCCAAATAATGGCCATCAAATAGGGGCTTAGTTTGTCAGTAGGATGTCTGTGAGACATGGTTCTTACAATGAGACGGAGATGGTTTCAGAACCAAATTCAGAAGCCTAAACTGGATCCTCCGTCCTCAACCTTTAACTCTCTTTGCACTTCTATGCCAACCTTTTTTCGTTGCATTATTGCCCCCAAACTTTCATATATTGGTGCCTGTGGCCCCTAGTGACGGTTTTCATTCCAAATTTTTCGTCAAAGATCAGGGTTAAAATCGGGAATGGGCTTAGAACTGAAAATGAGCCTGTTAACTATGTGCTGAGTTCACCTACCTTGTTAGATTCGGCATACAGAACTGAACTTATTGAATGTGCATTCCTTTATTTTAGAAAACTTCTTCACTGACCACAGGTAATTGTCTTCAACTTGAACAAGGAAAAACTAAATGTAAATGTCGAAAGAAGAAACAAAGCAAACAAAAAGAAAAGGCTTCATGTTCAACCTTCTGGCATTAGCATCTGGAAGATTGGAGATAGTCATGCAAAGAAACAAAGGTGTAATTTATCCACGCTAGAAATATACTTTCCATTTGACTCCAGTTAACCCAAATGAATGTGATCTTTATGTCTACTTAGTGATTATTCCAAAACTTGCCAAAACAGACATGGTTGGCATACTTGCAAAAATTGCATACTGAGACAGCAAAGAGAGAGAATGCTTTTGGAACATGAAGTATATACACCTTGAACTATATTGTTGAAATTGTGTAAAGTAAACCGGTCAAATGTATAAAAAAAAAAGTTAGTGATCTCTCGAAATGTTTCACTAACATAAATAGAAAAGAGGTGAATTTAATGTTGATAATAAAAAATGAAAATATGTCGATTATTTACACTGCAATAGTGAATGCTCAAACCCATAAATGCTTTGGTACTCCACTATTTATCATTAAAGTCAAATCCATTTCAATTATATGTTGGTATTTTCTCTCGAATACCCTATTTATTTAGTTCGGGTCCCCAGACGGGACTCGTCTTGGGGCCACAAACATAACTCTCTCATAACTTTTTCTTACAATTTAATTAAAAAAATTTCAAAAAAAAAAAATCATGTTTCAAAAATTTTCTCCCACACAAGTGATATTTATATATTCTGTATATTCATTTTTTTTTCTTCCTCATGACAATTATAAATTTTATTTTAATATTAAACATGTTATTGAAGTTTGAGTAAATGATAAAGATCTATTTAAGGTTTATAACAATAACATAGAATATAGACAGTAACACAGATAATAACATATGATTATATCAGTGAAATTTATCGTTCCATTTCAAAACTACGATAAAATTTAGTGACTAAGGAATGAAATATAGTAACCTAAATGAGATATTCCTTGCCTAGGAATTTTAGAGTCGGCGGACACCGTCTGCTTTTCATCAGGTTGTGGTGTACGTATATAATGATTTACATACATATAATGTGGTGAAATATGATTGGATCAAAATTTCCTCAATCAAACTAAAAAGAAAAAGAAAACGCTTCTCTATTATATTTTTGATACCCCATTGTATGTAAAATATTATATAACTCTATTAGGTATAAGTTAGCATTATTCGCTTCCTAAATCCACCTGATCCTTTTTTTTTTTTTTTTTTACATTGTACATGTAAATAAGAATTTCGGCGGCGCCTCCTAAAAATTCCGAATAAGAGTGAGGACGGCAGCTGCTATTGATCCACTATTTAACGTAAAGCAATGGAGAAAGAAATACATCTTCTGCAATTCATTACTATCAACTCTATGGAAAAAGTTAATTTCAGAACCCATATTTTAAGCGAGCACCTCCAAAACCACCGCCATGCAACCACCGCCACAATTTCCGCCTCACCATGCTTCAGCTACGTGCCACCGGAAGTTTCCGAACGACCCTTTTCGTTCGACGTGACTTCAATGAGGAAACTGATGGATGGGCACAATTTTGGTGACAGGGACTGGCTTTTTAATCTCATGGTACAGAGCGAACTTTTCAATCCAAGGCTAAGGGGTGGCAAAATATTTGTCATGCCGGATTATAATCACTCCATGCAGCAGCAAAGAAAGATCACTATGAAGAGAATTGAGTATTTACTGGATCATGGGGTGTTCAAGGGGTGGTTGACAGGTAAAGGGCCTGAATCTGAGATGAAAAAGTTTGCTCTTTTGGAGGTTATTGAGATTTTTGATTACGCTCTTGCTGTCAACATTGGTGTGCACTTCTTAACGTGGTATGTTCGATGTTTTATGATATTATTTTTGTGGTCATCTTAATGGGGTTTTCAGGTACATCATAGTTGTTAAATTAGGAAAACGTACAATTTTGACAGGTTGAGTGACTTGCATTTTACAGTTGTAGCTGTACCCTACTTCTCTCGCCTCACAGTTTTCATTACTTGCATTTGTGAATTTGTGAAAAATCCCAATTTTGGGTTTTGCTTGATAAATTGGTATGCCCTCTTTTTAAAAAACGAATTATTTTAGATTGAGAATTCTGCATGGTGGAGTAAATAGTGGAACCTGACTCGTAAAATTCTTCCCTTGTTGCACGAATTTGGTAATTTTTATCACTTCTATCCATCTTTAGCTGAGCTCATGTTTAATATGTGGATGGTTGAGTCTCTTGAGTCGTCTTTTGAGAGTCTGAAACTAGTTGGATTAAATCAGTAGCTGGTTAACTGCTTCATTGTTGACAATTCCAGGGGCGGTGCTATCCAATTTTTTGGCACAAAGAGACATCATGATAAGTGGTTGAGTGCGACAGAAAATTACTTGATTAACGGATGCTTTGCCATGACAGAATTGGGGCATGGAAGCAATGTATGTAAAGAGTGTTCAATTGATTAGCATCAGACATATGGCCTGTCAACAGAATTATCCTCTATTTTTACTTGGTTATCAACACATTTTGAGTCAATTTTTCCAGGTTCGAGGCATTGAAACAACAGCAACTTATGAGGCAAACACGGGAGAGTTTGTAATCAACACTCCATGTGAATCAGCTCAAAAGTACTGGATTGGTGGTGCGGCTAACGTAATCATTCATCCAACTAGTGATTTCCATTCATTTTCGGCATTTAATATTCTTTTTACTTCACTCATATCATGCTCTCCCTTGAATGTATCTTAGCATGCGACACATGCAGTAGTTTTCTCTCAGCTAAATATTGACGGAAAAAATCAAGGCATCCATGCTTTTATCGCCCAGATCAGAGATGAAAATGGGAATATCTGTCCCAATATTCGGATTGCTGATTGTGGTCATAAGATTGGTTTAAATGGCGTTGACAATGGTCGAATCTGGTATAGATGATTCTCTTTTGTGGCTACACGAACCATAAATTTTATGTTATCTGGTAAATGAGTGTGGTCTGATGGCTTTATCATTTTATACTTGTCAGGTTTGACAATCTTCGCATTCCTAGAGAAAATTTATTGAACTCAGTTGCTGATGTTTCTCCGGATGGAAAATATTTGAGTGCAATAAAGGACCCAGACCAGGTATTACACTTGAGTAATTGTTCACCTCATGATTTTTCTTTATCACGGGTCATATGATTTTGTCTTGCTGCAGTTTCTTTTNGTTTTTTTTTTGGTTTTTTTTTTTTTTTTTTTTTTGGGTCTGGTGATAATTTCATACACCATGAGAATTTATTCGACATTGACCAATAAACCTAATGAAAAGATGACGGGAGATTGTTGAGAAATGTGTTGAAGCAAATTTATTCACAGAATCACAGCATTTTATGAATAAATTTCTTGTTTGCTTCCTTTCGGTCAATTCTATATTAACTTTCTATTCAGTGGAATTTCATATGCTTTGATTTATCTGCAGAGATTTGCTGCATTCATGGCAACTTTGGCATCTGGAAGAGTTACTGTCACAGTTAGTGCCGTGTACTCTGCGAAGGTGGTCACTATTGTCATAACATTTTCCAATAATTTTAGTAGAGTGCAACATCCAACTACGATTACTCTAGCCTTAACTGATATCTTACCTTAATTTCTCCCATCAGGTTAGTTTAGCAATTGCCATAAGATATGCACTGACAAGGAGAGCATTTTCAATTACTGCAAATGGTCCTGAACTCCTTTTGCTTGATTACCCCAGCCATCAGCGTCGCCTCTTGCCCCTTCTTGCCAAGACGTAAGTTTGTACAATTTCTTCAGAAGTTGGAAATAATCGGTGTGAGTGAAAAATTGCCCGTACTATTTAATGTATAAGTTTCCCAGCGTGTAAATGAGCTACGTGTATCTAGTCTTGTCGTGCTACATCCCATTGTCATATTTGAGCTTCAGTTTCCATATCGACAAGTCAACTATCACTTACATGACCAAAGAGAGACAG